GTATAGACACACACACACACACACACACACACACACACACACACACACACACACACACACACACACACACAGTGACCTCACCCTCCATGCTCCATGTGTAGAGAATTACATGTGGCCCTGAACCCAAATCGTATGTACCGACTGGACAAGAAGTTGGCGGCAAAACTCGCCATAGACAACACGGTATACACTACAGCCAGGGCACCGCCTTTCCTGAAGAAAAAAAAATAATACCGACAATAATTAATTTCATTATTTATGTTAATGTTTTCTTTTTGTCTCAATGCTATTACAATTTACAGTGTTTTCCTTTCATTATTGTTGTAGTTTGTTTTTTCTTTTGGTACTCATGCTACAATTGTAGTAGTTGTTGCTGCTGTTGCTGTCTGTTGCTGTTTGTTGCTGTCTCTTGTTCTTGTTGCTGATGCTCTTGTTGCTGTCATCGTCGTCGTCGTCATTGTTGCTGTTGTTGTTATTGTTGTTGTTGTTGTTGTTGTTGTTGTCGTGGTATACGTCATCGAGGAGAGTACCAACACCAGTGAGAACTATAATCGTTAGTTTGCCTGTTTGTAACAGTGGCGTTTGTTCCTGCTTTTCGCCAGATCCTGTTTCGTTTGGGCTTGTGCCTTCACTTTAGTTTTAGTTTTAGTAAGGTTTTACGGCGCTCGCAACTGCATAAGGTCACATGAGCGCCAAGGGGTGGATGTCAGCAGAGAAGTCCAAACGGGGAATCAGGCTTACTCTGCTCACCACTCTAGCCTCAACATCACAAGTCTGCTTCGACAATCAAGGCACTCCGGAAACAGCAGTTCACAAGAGAGCGACAAACATACAAAAGAAGAAGAGGAACAATGACGATAGCAAGAAGGATAAGGAAAGAAAAAGCAGCAGTTCCCCCTTTGTTGTTTCAGCACAGAATGAGCATGACATCGATAAATCAGCTCATTTACAGTTCTACTGTTAATACCCCCCCAAAAAAAAAACCCTTTGAGAATGGCCTAAAGACACTTCAGTCAGTAGCACTGCCCTGGTTGGGGAATGCCTTCACTTGTCTCCGAAATAACGTTCTCCTCCAATAAGACAGAGTGTGGTAAGTGAAACTAAAATTTCTCAAAAACTGCATCGATTCAGTCGTGGATTTGAACCTTTAACCGAAGACAAGTGTAGCCTAGATTCTCCCCATCCCAACAGACTTAGCGACGTGCCTACTCGACCAGCAGCAGTCTACAACATTTGGTAAAAGTTTACTTGAGCCTCTATTCGGAACTTCTTTCACCTACTATTTATGCTCATTCGGGGG